ACAACTGGGAAAACCTAGCTTTGGCTTTATGAACTTTTGTCAGCAGGGTGATGTCTTTGCCGTTTAGTATGCTTTCTAGATTTGCCATAGCTTTCTTCCCAAGGAGCAAGCATCTTTTAATTTTTTGGCTGTAGTCACTACCCCCATTTCTTCCCCATCTATTTGCCAGGTAGGACCAGATGCCATAATCTTAGTTTTCTTACTGTTGAGTTTCAAGCCAACTTTTGTGCTCTCCTCCTTTACTCACTTCAATAGGCTCTTTAGTTCCTCTTCACTTTCTGCCATTGGTATCATCTTTGTGTCGGAGGCTGTGGATATTTCTTCTGGCAATCTTAATCTCTTCTTGTGATTCATCTAGCCTGGCCTTTCACATTATGTACTCTGCATATAAGTTAAATAGGCAGGGTGACAACATACAGCCTTGCTGTACTCCTTTCCCAATTTTGAACCAATTGGTAGTTCCATGTCCAGATCTCACTGTTGCTTCTTGACCCACACAGAGGTTTCTCAAGAGACCAATAAGATTGTCTGGTACTCCCATCTCTTTAAGAACTTGCCACAATTTGTTGTGATCCACCCAATCAAAGGCTTTATCAAGGTCAATGAAGCAGAAGTAGATGATTTTCTGGAACTCCCTAGGTTTCTCCATGATCCAGTGTATGTTGGCAATTTGATCTTTAGCCTCTTCCAAATCCTGCCTGTACTTCTGGTAGTTCTCGGTCCACATACTGCTGGAGACTAGCTTGTAGGATTTGAGCATAATTTTGCTAGCATGTGAAATGAGTGCAATGGTGTGGTATTTTGAGCATTCTTTGGCATTGCCCTTCTTTGGGATTGAAAAGTAAACTGACCTTTTCCATTCCTGCAGCCACTGCTGAGTTTTCCAAATTTGCTGGCATATTGAGTGTAGCACTTTTACGGCATCGTCTTTTAGGATTTTGAATAGCTCAGCTGGAATACTGTTGCCTCCACTAACTTTGTTGTTGCTCAAACTTCCTAAGACCCATTTGACTTCACATTCCAGGATGTCCGGCTCGAGGTCAGTGACCACCCCATCGTGGTTATCAGGGACGTTAAGCTCTTTCTTGTACAGTACCTCTGTGTAATCTTGCCACCTCTTCTTAATCTCTTCTGCCTCTGTTAGGTCCCTGCCATTTTGGTCCTTTATCATGCCCATCTTTGCATGAAATTTTCCCTTCATATCTCCAATTTTCTTGAAGAGATCTCTGGTCCTCTCTATTCTATTGTTGTCTTCTATGTCTTTGCACTGTTCATTTAAGAAGGTATTCTTATCTCTTCTAGCTATTCTCTGGAATTCTGCATTCAACTGGGTGTATCTCTTTCTCCCTTGCCTTTGGCTTCCCTTCTTTCCTCAGCTATTTGTAAAGCTTCCTCAGACAGCCATTTTGCTTTCTTGCATTTCTTTTCTTTGGGATGGTTTTAGTTGCTACCTCTTGTACAATGTTGCAAACTTCCATCCATAGTTCTTCAGGCACTGTCTTTCAGATCTAATTCCTTAAATCTATTTGTCTCCTCTACTGTATATTCATCAGGGATATGATTTAGGTCATGCCTGATTGGCCTAGTGCTTTTCCCTACTTTCTTCAATTTAGGCTTAAATTGAAG